CAGTCCTCGTAAACACACTGGCTCGGCTCTTCACACGTTACCTGTTTGAATGCAAGGTCCCTACTCAGTGGAAGACCAGCAAGACCGTGTTATTGCTCAAAAAGGATGATCTACACGATATCGTCAACTATCGCCCAATCTGTTTACTGTCGGTCGTCAATAAACTTTTCATTCGAGTCAACCGAAACAGGATTGACAGAACACTAGACGAAGGACAGCCATCTGTAGAAGCAGGGTTTCGAGAAGGATTTAGTACGATGGACCGCATCCACACCATAAGAAGACCCACTGATTTATCGTGAGAGTACGAAGAACGGCTCCGTCTCACCTTCATCGATTTAAAGAAAGCCTTCCACTTAATTGAGATAGGAGCGGTCATGAAAGCCCTTGAAAGACAAAGAGTTCCTACTCAGTACACAAAGGTTCTTCGTAAGCTGTACAAAAATTTTACAACCAAGATATCACCATTCGACAACGATATTAGCAACGACGTCAAAAGAGGAATTAGGCAACAGGCATATACCATCTCGCCAAAATTATTAACCGCCACCCTCCAGAACGTCATGCGAACATTGGAATTGGATAATATGGGAGTGAAAATCGATGGTCGGCAGTTACGCCATCTTCGCTTTGCTGATGACATCGTCCTTATAACACCAAACATTAGCCAAGCGGAACGTATGCTTGACGACTTTGATAAAGCTTGTGGAAAGATTGGTCTTCGACTAAATCTCATAAAAACAATGTTTATGAAGAACGGATTGGTTTCGCATGGCCCATTCACGCTCAACGTAACGAATATCTCCGAATGCTCTAGTTATAACTATCTAGGTCGAGAAATCAGTTTGATGAATGACTTAGAGTTGAGCAGAAGAAAACGAGCGGCTTGGAAGCTTTCAAGAGCATCGAGGATGTGGTGAAGAGAACGAAAAACACCCGACTACGTGCCCACCTTTTCGACGCAACGGTACTTCCTGCCCTAACATATGCGTCAGAAACCTGGTCGCTGCGTGAGCAGGATGAGAAGTCACTCAGCGTTATCGAATGCGCAGTCGAAAGGACGATACTAGGAGTATCCCGTTCCACACAAGTAATGGATAGGATCCGAAACTCCGATCTGCGTTAACGATCAAAAATCAAAGATGCCGTGCTGTACGCCAAGCAGTCGAAGATAAGGTGGGCCGGACACGTAACACGTATGAATGACAACCGTTGAACAAGAGCCGTTAGTGACTGGATTCCCGAGATGTCAAACGTACTGCAGAAAGACCACCGACGCGATGGTCAGAGTTCTTCACAAAGAGCCTTGAAGAAAGACATCATGCTCGACGAGTCGCTAGAGCAAGTAGAACCCACTGGGCTACTCTTGCACGCAACAGGGAAAATGGAAGGTTTACAGGCGTCCGCTCGAGTCACTCGGCGATCGACGGGACGACAGGTGATACAGGTGACAGGTGAATGAACAAAGGCGTAAAGTGCCTGTGGTAGAAACTCAGGAATAATCCGAATAAAAATAGTACAATGACTGGAAAGCAGGTGCAGCGGTAGTGCATGAGTTCTCATCGTGTTAAATACAAATAAAAAATGCTTACAATGTAGAAAGGGTACCCATTCATTGGAGTATTTCTAAACGGCATAAGAGTGTGTGTGATGACATGGACGAGAAATCCAGCATTTGTAGCTTATCTTAGTAATCGATAATGGAAAGAGATAGCGAACGTAGTGGCTGGCCATTGCATTCGTCTACAGAACTACCCCATTCAGCGCTAACCGCGGAGAATCCATTCAATCTTCCATGCTTTAATTGCTGTCGTTATTTAATATCGCCTGAACCCTATTTATACATGCTTGAAATGATCCACCGTAAAGCTATCAAAGGGCTGAATATTACGAGTTAAGGCCGTCGGAAGATCTATGAGTGAGAAGACGAATAGGGAACAGATCGGATCCGGCGAAAGAATCTACCTGCAAATATACGATTACGAAACTAAGGTAAAAGTCATTGTTTTCGACATCCTGCTAAGTTCTAAGCAAGCTTTTGTTAGATTGTTTTTAGTGCCTGGTTTTGCTTTGCCTTGCTTCTCTTGTTTGTTCCTAATGTCATGAATTTTTACTGAGTTCCCGCAAAACACCTACTACGATTCTCGACTGTTAATCTTTATTTAATTACTCTTGTCCTTCTTCATAATACACTTGTGTAATGTTATGAATGCAACGCAGTAGTGACCTTTTCTGTTCTTCTTCTGCTCTTTTTTGTAATTCCATTCCACTATGTCATGTTTTCATTTACGTTAACTTTGCTCCCTCTAAGTAACTCTCACGACCGACTTTCTATTAACTTGGGCATTGATAGAACAAGTCTTCATATTCTTGTTTAGTAAACACGAGTTGTTATTTTATTGCTTTATTTACAAGCATGCTGACGTTTCGGCGGATTTCGTTTTCCTTAGAGCCTGAAAAGGTCAAGCTGACCGCAATCTAGCCAGCCAAACAGCTCTATAAGCAAACAGAGAAAATGCTAAATCGAGATTTCAATCACGTTGAACTCAGAATGGCTTCTTTGCACATTCAGTGCTTTTTATGAGTCTTCCACTGAATATGTCAAGTGTAGACCAACCACATAGCGTCCACATGGCAGCATAATATGCTCTTCCAGCTTAATGTGATTGAAATCTTGGTTTCGCATTTTCTCTATTTGGTTATGGAGGTGTTCGGCTAGGTTGCTTGCGGTCAGCTTGACCTTTCCAGGCTCTGAGGAAGGCGAAATCCGCCGAAACCTCAGGTTACGCATAAATAGGGAAACAAAGTAACACCTCGTGTTTGCTAAAGAAGACTTTAAAAAATTATGCCTTTAATTTTATTCCACACCCTACGCAGATTTTGACCTTCTCACGTTCGGATTTATTTTTCGTTAGTCCATCCGAAATATGCACTCAAAAGTGTTTTTTATGTATTTCAGTGTCACTTAATTAACTGAGAGACAACGGCAAGTGAAAGGCAGAAACAAAAAAGTGAATTTGAACGGAAAATTAAGTGGAGATTGAACATGAAAATGCAACAAAGTCATATCAACTAGAGCGCTCTTAAAAGAAAAAAACATGGTGGATTCTCTAGACAGCAATTTGGAAACAGACTTTTGTAACCTGGCAGCATCTAGGAGTTCTCGGGTCTGACCACTTACCACGGCTTGGTGCGCATCTACAGCTCGAGCACGTGGCCGTCTCGCATATTCTGGTGTGTGGTGGTGCTCTCTTGTCTGTCACTCTTCATGATTCACGTGAGCTGCTTTTTTTTCTCTCATACTTACTCAGAATACCTAGATGAGGTCTCCTAAAAGTGGTTCCTCTTCTGGCGAGCGAGCAACTGAACCCTTCATTTTCAATTCCTCTCTGCTTATTAGCTTCTTAAGCAATCAGTCGATTCATTTTATGCAGTCAATGAACTCCGCAACCACAAAAATAAAAAGAAATAAAAAGGTCCTGAATAATACTCAAATATTTAAGCTTTCGCACACATGATTAACCCTTGGACTTCCTCTACGCGTCCTATTGCTCTACAACACCCAACCAGAACGACCGTCGGATTTGTGTGAGGGCTCAGCTACAACTTTCGGATCGTCCATTTCCTCTATGAACTGGAGCAACGAATACTAACCAAGCTTTCCATTTTTTGGAATTCCGACACAGCTGTGTGCTATAGCATCCCCGCCTTCACAAAGGTTCCTGGACTTTGCGAACTGCAGGGAGCGTTTGCTGTCTTCCGACTAAAAATCTTCCGAGCCAGCAGCGATTTTGGTTAGGTCGGCGACTAATACGTGTAGTCGTGTCGAATGTGAAGTAACAGGTGGAACCTCACTAGTAACATTTAAGGCGAACATTGACAGTTTCTTATTTTAAACTTAAACAGTCCTTGCCGTGCTACCTATATTCATGACGCACCAACACTGTGAATTATTAGTTAGCTGCTTCACATCCATTGCAATGATTACAACATTCCAGAGTGGCTATCTTCTGCTGGGATATCATTCGAAGCCAACTCTATTCCAAGTAAATACTATCGTTGCTGTGGACGGTATTTCCTTTCCTGATATTACCATATGCAATCAAAACCGGGTAAAGGGATCGAGAATGTTGAGTGAGTACTTGTTTTTACTTCATCTTGTCTTTTCTCACTTCCTCATAAGCAAATATGATTATTTTAAGAAAAGAACACCTAAGTAAAACGTGGTGACGAACAATCACGTACAAATTTCCCAGAAGAAAACTATGGAGAAAAACTTAACATCTGACGTTGATTTACTAGAAATGTAGATAGATATGTGTCGTTTTCTTGTTCAGCAATCGAGAGGTTCTTAAACAGCATACATTTACTTCCATAGAAAAACACAATACAATACAACGCTAGCTGACGTTTCGGCAGCATCGCCTTCTTCAGTGCCTGGAAGGGTATACTTGTATACAATCTACTAGGCCAAACGCTTCAATGACACTTACAAAAAGACGAAAAAATCTGTGGTTAATTACATGATCAGCAACTTCTCGAAAAAACCCACCGCTTTTTCGTGACTTTCAATGAGGAAGTTTAGAACAGCTGATTATAGTCACATATGGTTGATGACTGCACCATCCCACATCAGAGATTGATGCGAACATACGGGGTCAGGTCGCGTATGACCTCTGGGCATTCATCCCTGCTATTCATTGTAGGGTTTTTGGCATTTATCCAAAAAGCCTCAAGGAGTTTCCGCGCTGGTGTTTTAGTCTCCTGTGCAAGGATACTGACTTTTACTTCAAAATCGTCTCCGCTATGCTTTTGTATCCTATGCGTGCCTAGTGGGGTGCTTCGTCTTAGTTTTCGTTTGCCATCTAGGTGTTCTTTTATACGGGCAAACAAGGGTCTGCCCGTTTCGCCAATATATTCATCTCCGCAATTATTACAAGAGATCAGGTATATCGTACCTGAACTCATGCAATCACTGTCCCTGCCATAAGGGCAAATTACGCAATTTGTTGTTTCACACAGACGGTCATACAGGCGGTTGCGAACTAATTGGCGACGTAGCCGGTGGTATTTCAACTATCGCTACCGATTCCCCTAAACTTGCCCTTCTTAAGCATCGTTTTATAGCTACGCTTACTTCATCGCTTATAAAAGGCAACATAAACGGGATTTTCTTTTGGCCAAGTGTTTCGCGTGGGCGCGTCCTTCTCCTTGTAAACTAATCTCGTGGGGTTACTATTTCGTAGCCATTGGAGATGGCTATTTGCCGAGCCAAGTCGCGCGATTCTTCCTTTAGTTCCCTGGTGGTGCACACAGAGGTGGCTGTTCGAAACATGTTTCTCACAATCGCCCTCTTTGTGTGTGAAGGGTGGGAAGAAAGGAAACGAACAAGAATGTTCTTGTTACTTGGCTTTCGATACCACTTTGTCAGGTAACCGCTTTTTGATAGGTTTATTTGAACATCCAAAAACGGAAGCCAGTTTTTCTCTTGGTTTCTCCCGGGTGAACTTTATGTACTCGGACTGCTCGTTCAATAATTCAAAGCATTTGTCCATCTCCTGCGTAGAGAAGACGACAAAAGAATCATCTGCATATCTGCAGTAGAGTAGTGGCCGGAGATCGAGAACAGGGGCTTCTATCTTAGACATAAACACAATGGCCAGGCTTGGTGCCAATCGCTGTCCCATTGCCAACCCCCTTATTTGCGCGAAATATTTCCCAGACCATCTGAAGATCGAGCAGTTTAGGCACTCCTTTAAGAGAGCCATTAGCTGCTGGATGGACAAGCCATGCATATTTATTCTTCCTTAATGTTCAACAAGAAGTTCGAAGATGGCTTGCATTGCGGAGTCATTCGACACGTTGGTGTACAGTGCCGTAACAACGAAAGACTCCATCACGTACGCGTTATTAGGAGACGCGTTACGTAGACGTTCTAGGAACATTTGGGTGTTCGTGAGGTGAGCTGGAATGTGGTTAAGCAACTGGGTAAGTATCAGGCTTAAAAACCAGGTTATTCTATCCGTTGGCCCGTCTACACAGCTGATGATCGGTCTAACCTTAAATGATGACGGATTGGTTGACGCATGATCATCAGGTGATACCAACTTATGTGTTTTAATAAGTATGTATAGGACGGGACATGTTGGTCTATTGATTTTAAAGTGCGAAATAACCGATGATTTTAAGCCCACAGCCTTTGCCACGCTGACCCATTGATTGTTTAGCTTTCGGTATCGACTTTTATATTCCTTTTCAGAGGATGGGCGGTAGAGAGTAGCATCACTAAGATGTTCCTCTGTTATCTCAACATCCAGCTGGCGAGGGATAACTACGAACTCTCCCCCCTTGTAGATAGTTATAGTGGCAGATTCAAGAAATGACAGAGAATAATAAAGTAACCTGTTAGGGTTAAATTAGACAGTTTTCCGCAGAAGTGCTGGAAGAAGTTGTCACTGCTTGAAGAATTGTTTCTGAGTCTTCTTACGAGTTGATAATTCAACTCTGAAATTTCGACTAAAGTTTAATCAATTCTTGAGCAAATTTTCAGATTTTAATGCTAGAACTAAAAGGTTGATGCTATCAAACCCAAAACGCTTTGATCCCTACGAAATTTAGGCTACAATATGAGTCGAAGGCTTCTCTCCTATGCTTTCATGTCCATCGATGATCACGTTGATTTCGATGTTAACATCTCTGATCATCGCTTGTTCGCCGACTTTATCGAAAGTCATAGAAAACAAACAGGAAAAAATTTTTCTCTGGTCGAGTTCCTCGATGACATCAGGTATTAAAAGTGAAGTGGTTTTCTACAAGTCCTATCTTCTTTTCACCTACGATATTATAAAACCCCTACATACCGTGGTACCGTAAAAGAACAAACTGGCCGGACTGGCATAAGAAAGTTGTCAAAAAATAATTAAAATATGGTTTTTGTGGTAACTGAGGCCAAAAAATGGATAAAATCGTTATAACTACAGTGGTGCTGAGATATCTGCAAGATTCCGGAACGCAGGTGTCTGCGGTGGGGAACGAACGCGCTATCACCTTTCCGGGGGCCAACGCGTTCACCACGACACCATACGGCTCCTTCGTTTTCCCTATCTCTCAGTTATTTCTATCGATTAGCACCATCAACTATCACCCGTCAAAGAGATCTAGGTAGTCCAAATCGGCACTGAACCTAGCTAAGCTGATGTTGCAGTTGAAATTGAAAAAGTTGAAAGTTGTCATACTTTTTTCCTTTTACAACTATGAAAAATGGCTGATACGGTAGGTAAGCTTGCGTTGAATACAACACTGTAGTTCTACACCAGGAGTGAGCATTCGCTGAAACACAGAATCGAATGAGATCGATATGTTTTCCCAGATTGTAGAGATAACATCCATGTCGACAGTTAAGTACTGAGACTAAGAAGATTAGAGTGAAGCTGTCTTGATAATACATCATGATCCTCATGAAATATTTGTCTTTGCCTATGTTTTTCTTCGGGTCCTCCCTTAGCAGTATTCCCATTCCTATTGTGATCTATAGAACGAGATTTAAGAGGAGAATGAGTATGTTGTGAAAAAGATACATTGCTGACTTTAAGTCTATTTTAGGCCAGCTTGCAAGGATATGCTGCTATCGTGTTATTTCGCTGGAGAGCATGAAGATTGTTGTTCAATTAGCTACGTAGTGATGACCGATTTAGGATTCTGCGTGAGGTTCATCCATTCATCCAATTTTTCTCTGCAATTGTCTTATTTTCATTTTCTTTCACTACGGTCGTATTTCTTTTCATAAGGCAGGCCTTTATCAGCCTTAAAAAATATCGGAAAATCTAGCGAACGTCTGAAAGAGTAGGTGGCTTGATGAATGAAGTAAGTAGGTGAAGTTGGTTTGGCGCTAGGGCGTCCATTTGGTTCGAGTAGCTTTCCCATTTCGACCGAACTACTCCAGATCGTTATGTTCGCTTGTGTGTATAACTCGTAGAATGATGTTAGGATAAAACATTGACTCTTATTTTTTCATAATCTACTTTTCGTAGTTAATAATCTTTTTTTTGATAATTCCACTAGTAGTGCTTCATAATTCAGTGTAATATAGTTTCTTCTATGTGAGTTACAGTGCAAGATAGAGTGTGACGTAGTGTATCGATGTTCTGTGTGAAACCTCACCCATTCATGAGATACATAGGCATCCACTTTTAGACAGCGGTAGTGCCATCCATCTCTTGAACTGGTCCTCGAAGGCAATTTTTTAAAATTTATCTCTATTAACTCGTATATAATGCTGAGATATTTGCAAAATTCCGGACCGCAGGTGTATGCGGTAGGGAACGAACGTGCGCTATTGTCCTCTCCGAGGAGCAGCGCACTTCACCATCACACCATCCGGGTCCTTCGCCTTGCCTGCCTCTCAGCTAGTCCTATTGATCTTTTGCCATCAGCAATCACTCGTCAACGGGATTGATCTGGGGAGCCCAAATCGGTATTGAACCCAATTAAGCTGAGGCTTAGTTATAATCACAATCTTAACCTTATTAATTAAATTAATCTTAAGGACATAGTAAATATCTCAGCATTCAATGTTTTTCATCAATAAGCAGACACGAGGTTGTTAATATAGAATTTATTAGAACACAATTGCTGACGTTTCGGCGGTTTCGCCTTCTTCAGAGCCTGGAAAGGTCAAATTGAGATGTGATCTACTCAGCCAAACACTTTCACAACCCTAGCAGATAAAACTTGACAATTCGATTTGCATTCGCATAAGAAACAGCTTCATTCAAACACCTACCGTTTATTTGTTGTAAGTATTTAAGTTAGTTGGTGGATAGCCGCCGCACAGAGTAATACATGGTCGATAACTGTGTCCATGTCAGGTCATTGGATCAGCCTCTCAATTTGACCTTTCCAGGCTCTGAAGAAGGCGAAACCGCCGAAACGTCAGCAATTGTGTTCTAATAAATTCTATATTAACAACCTCGTGTCTGCTTATTGATGAAAAACATTGAATTATCAATTAATGCCGAGGTTAACAGAAAGTCGGTCATGGGAATATCTCAGCATTATATACGGGTTATATTTCGCAACATACCCTGCCATTAAAAAGAAAAAGGCAGGAAGAGAATTAAAAAAAAATTAAAGAATTAAAGGGTTAAGATTTATCTCCATTAATGGGACGAGTTTTTCTACATTCATAGGTCCTGCAGCAACTCGTTCCTTTTTCTAGCAGAGCAGTTCAAAAACTTTTAGAGGATATGGCGATAAAAGAGGAAAAAACTTTTGGCTATGATCAATTGATGAGAGGCGTACTATGCCTCTCAATTCAGGCATCGTTGGAGGTAACTGAATGCCTATGTTCTCTTTGTAATAACTTGTAGTGACCTACCGATGAAGCAAGTCAGTGGTGCTGTCCTACCGGTTAGCAACTTACCAAGCCCAAAGTGCTGAAAGACTTAGTGGTCCTGAGGCGTGATCGAACCAACAACCGTTTGTATACTGCAGGACGCCTCTAACCATTGTGCTACACGCGTCTTCATGCATGGGAGTGACAAAATATTTCTCCTTCAATTTTCTACACGATTGAGCTAACACGAGGTTGATATAAACTCTAATTCGGCCAGCCTTTCGTCGCCTTCGCCTTCCTTAGAGCAGCGTTGGTCCGAGTCGATGCTGCACAGCTGCTATCCAATTGAGGGAGCACCGCTTGAGTGAAGGATCTCATTCGGCGATGCCCCATCATACAGGACGGATTCTGACCAATTCACGCCTCCGCTATGATCTACTTTTGGCGGGCAATATAACAACGCTACTTCATTTGCTTCCATCAGATCCATCTGATTTTAGCTCCTTTTATCTTTCTCCAGTGTTCGCCTGAAGTTTTCCTGAGCCGCTGTAAATTTTGACAAGACAGTTCTCCTTTACGAAGGTTGTTAAAACAAACATCGGCTCACATTTTTTCAAAGGTTAATGACCGTTTCAGGTTTCTAGTTCTCCAAAGAAGTCGAGAATCCTGGTCAAGCTGCTGACGACAAGGACACCAACTCCCGTTACTCCTTTGCAGTCACATGTTTCACGAAACAATTCTTGTGTGGTTGCACAAACGGCGTTGAGCGTCAAGAGAGAGCAGTAGTCTCCTATAGAATGGCTCGGAGGTTCTAGCGGCCTAACCGTACTTGCTTTACTCAACGCTCCCAAATCTAGAACTCCCTCGCGGTTAGGGTAAAGCGGCCCATATATTTCACTGGTGATTGATACCCAGGAATAGTTAGCTAAGCGTTTTGAGTGCGGGTGAATACGCTAGCAGATAATTTACTAGTTGCTCCAGAAGTAAACATGAAAGTTATTTGTGGCAGGCAACTCTTATCCATCTCTAGTTTACTTCATAGTCATTCGGTTGTTAAATTTTGACAGGTTTAAAGTGAAAGATGCAGTCCAAATATGCGTGTGCTCTACTATTCGACCTTGCATAAGGGTATCATCTTCGTAGAGAATCTATGTATCACTACGTACTAGTACAGAAAAGAAGTCTTTTGCCTGAATTCACCTGCTTTGTAGGATAGCACCACTTCGCCTTAGTTCTCATTTGCCCGCAACCAGTGCAGGCAACATGGTAATCACGCAGTAGGAGTTCTTTCATTCAGGAAAATCCATACTTTCTGGCGTCCCGGCTGAGCTATATGAAGCGCTCAACCATAACTTAGAGCTTGCTGATGAGGAATCACAAAGATCTCTCTGCATTGTTGAGCATTTCAAACCATTTTTATGGGATAAAATGTGCACCACTCATGGCAAAAAAACTGGGTGTCGTCGCGAATGTGCTGAGTGTCTTATAGTGCAGCATTCATTTCAACGTTCATTAATCCCTTCGCGAAGACGTCTAATTTTCTACAGCTGCCTCCTAAGGCGACTCCTAAGCTTTTTTTGCCGAGCATTATAAATCATATATGACTCATATCGGCTGGCCGGTACTCCCAAAAACACTATGAGTCGCTTTTTCCACTTCGAATTTGTTTAATGACTGCTTCCCTTCATTTCCAGTCTTCATTTTATGTTTTCAGAATATCAAACTCGAAGCTTAACAAGAGACAGTTTTTAAGTGGAAGCAGCTATGGATGGCAGTTTGTTCTCGATGGTAACAATGAGCTAGGTGGGCGATCCTTGCACAACAATATGGACGTCGGTTCATTGAATCGAATCATTCGTTTTTGTAAAGATTATCGAATATCCAATGAATTCTCTATGGCAGTTTTTCTTCAGTCGATCTATAAATAAGAAATAAGCAAAGACAACGAGAAATCCTTTCACCAGAGATTGTCCTTGTATTGGACAGAGACGTTCTACTAACTCACAACAGGACTTCTTCGAAGCAGAATCGGCAGCGAGCGAATTTGAGATCTACATGAGTTTCGTTAAGCCGAAACTAGAAAGTACAACAGAACAGAGGAAAACTAAAGAAAATCAGGATTTCGTATTTGCTTGATTCCAGGAAAAGCAGTAGTTATGCTTTGTCACCAATATTCTTGTTGAGCAAACATTGTTTGTGTTTCACACTTTCCTACAATAATTTTAGACTATTTTTCCAATACTGACACGGGATTTCGTGTGGCAGTCCATGAGTCCGGCAAGGAGATCTCAATGCAATCACGAGGACTAGCCGTGCCGCCTGGCGCCGCACTTCATGCCGGCATTTTCCTGAAGAATGTACTTCCTTTTAAAATGCGATGATTTAATACTTATTATACATTTGGAGTTTTAGTTGGAGATATTCCCCTTCCCACTAGCACGCACTGCTGACTTTCTACAATATTAAATTTTAGATTTCACTACTACAAAGATCAGCATGGGGATTTTGTGTAGACGACTGGAATCCCGTAAATCATGGCACCGTGCTCACTAATCTTATGGTAGAAATATTAACTTTATTATATGCTCATTTATGATCATCGTCATCGTGGTCGTAACTCACATCATACCTAGCCGTAAGAAGAAAGTGAGATAAATAAAAGTTAAAGCATTGTGGTTTCACCAGATAGTGTTAAAACAACCTATATGTGGAAAATGCAAGCCAGTTTGAAGCCGAGACAACCTTCCGCTTTATGAACGACGTTTCGCTTGTCAAGTCGCTTCAATAGTCCGAATAGGAAACTTAGAGCGAAAGAAAACGTCCTGTGGGGTCAAAATGCATATTAACACTAGAATAAAAATCGTCTTTCTTGTTGGAAGGAATCTGTAGACTCCATTTTTCGAGGCTCATTTGATCCCACATGCATTTGTTCAAAATCTTGAAGCGCATGTATTTCTTGCTCTTACGAAACCTATGTAATGGCCTTTGACAGAATGTATTCCTCAAGCAATGGTAAATTTTGTGACGCCTAGACAAAGGATTGGTTTGTATACAACTTATACAGATTGATTCTATGACGACAATGACCAGTCTTTGTTCTCTGAACTACAGTTTTCTACGCGAAGCGAATAGAATTATACATGTGTTCTAAGCATCCGGTTACCTCCGAATCTATTTCACTTCAGGTTGAGTGGCAATTTAGTAACTGTATAGTCTTTTTTGCAGTACACTGCCACACATTGTGAGTGGAATTGTGTTGCGCGAGAGTGGCTTTCCACATGTGGATGTGTTCTCATGAAGCATAATGCCTTGAACGTCTCCGCTAATGTGTCTGTGTGCCAGCCATACGATATACAGAGATGCTCTGGGAAGGTCAACGGTAATATTTTTGGCTAAATCAGCTCTATTTTAATAAAACATGAAACAATAAGATGAATTTTTATTGCAACCTTTATATTAAGCGTACCTATTCCGTACACTATTCCGGTCCAGTAATTGGGTGCATAACTACACCACAACGGTGAATACCTTTGGCAAAATTGAGTCACCTTGTCATAGTCTCTTACCAGTTGGAATAATGACTGGTGGATGAAAAAGCTGTTTCGTCGTTGTGCCGTGACTATTTCATTTTGCAAGCGTTTTTAATCTTGAAGGTGTCTATACTTTGGTCAACTAAAGAGGACAAGGTGGCATTGATTTCCACACTGTCCAATGCTTTCTCGTAGTCGATGAAACTGAAGACAAAGAGCATGATTTGATTCCCTGATGATGATGATGATTCCCTGAATACCTCCAAGACATTCGAGAGAGCGTAGAAACGTTCAGTACAGTCAAGTTACCTGGAGGATCCAGCTTGTTGTACGTCTAAGCGTTATGTATACAGGGTTATGTTTCATCTAAGCTTTTCGATTTGCTCGTTAGAATGAACTTCTCTAAGATCTCTTAGAGCACATCCAGAAAGCATGTAGGAAGGTAATTATGAATGTCATCCCTGTTGTCCTTTTCATGTAAAAGTACGGCATATGAAGTCCACCCCATTATTAGTTTCATTTTGCTGTGTAAAATTGTAGTGCACTCACCTCAATCGACCGCATAGGACAATCTTATTTTCATGAAGATCTTGACGGCGTTTCTTTATAAATTTCCTTGTTTTTGCTACCTCTAGAATGCTCATCTCTCTGTATCGATGAGAAACCTTCTGTACTGCTTTTCTGCAAATGGCGTTGTTGGCCAGTTTTTGATTTGTGTAGCAACAGGATCGTCGTACACGCGTCGCTTTTCCAAAAATTCTTCGCTTTACCTTCATAAACGTTAAGGGCTTCTTTTTAGATTAATAAGAACTTGCTAGGATTAGGTTCAGAGAGCATTAACCTACAACTTGCGGCTCTTCGTCAAATGTCCACTTTCGAGTTAGTTATAATTGGATGCGATATCACTGAAAATGGATTCGTCATCTTCAGCTTTCTCCCTTCTTTTCACAGTATCACTGGATTTCTTCCCTATTCTGTTGTTAACAGAATCTTTTTAGTAGAAGGCAGTTCACGGCGGCTTACCTCTGTAACATTTAACGAAAATTTTGTCCCATTTCATTTTCTCACAACGATAAAAAAGTGTTAAGCAAATATCAGCGCATGTAACTGCGACGTCGAGTGTCGATTAATGGAATACGATGCCCATATTAGCTACTCGGATGTCCTTCCGAGTTCACTTCGACAACGGTTCTCATTTTCGGAGCTGTACCTCAAGTGCGTTCACCCATTTATCCCATCATGATATAACCTATCTTTACCTCATTTCATTTGTTTTATTTCTATTTATAATTTTAATCTTTTCTGTAGATAAAAAAGTGGAACATGATTCTCCGCTGACTTTTGACGATGAAAAAAAAGCTCTCGACGTTGGTCAATCCCTGGAGGGTGCGCAGTACATTCGACTTCATTGAGCATAGTTTGGAGGTGATTGAATGCATGTCCGGCCTCTACAGTAACTCGCGGTGGCCTACCGATGTATCGAGCCAACGTTGCTCTCCACCCAGACAAGTCTGTTACCAATTTGCTGACTCCAGAGGAATGGAAGGCTTAGTGGGCCAGAAGCGCCGGAATCGATCCCACGTGTGTGTTGCACGGCGCCTCCGACCACTGCGCTGCATGCCTCTTTTGGGCGACGAAAAACGTGAAAATATGGCCGCTTTTATACGAACTTTTGGTAGCAACTTTACTGTAAAAAAAAATAAGTGCAATGTCAGGAGACTCTCGTTTTCACAAGAATTAGTAGAAGCGAGATTTAAATGATCCAGAAAGCGATAAAGAACGAATGTATTTGTGGCACTAGTGACTAACGTTTCAAACAATTAACCTTTACCTAAGAAAGCCACATTGAATATTACAATAGTCGGATGTAGTAAAATAAAGTGCATATCCGTTCGTAATTGTGGTTTTCACACAGGAACAACATCTCGGTGATGAACATCTTTATGAGGAGTATTGCCTACGAAAGACATGAACAACAGAAACAGTTACAAACGGCTGATCTTCTCTCGAGTATCGCCGGCAGTATGGGATTGTTCCTCGGCATGAGTACAGTTTGTGATTTCGTTCGCTTCCTTCTTTTTTTATTGAAGTGCGAAACTACAGATATCGTATTATTACCTTCCAGTCTATTACTACTCTTATACTTTCTCAAAAATAAAAACTTTTGAAAAGGAATCTTATACTGAGACGATTCTAAATCTAGAGGAAGGACAGAAAATTACTTGAGATCCAAACGAATAAATTCTCTATTTAGGTGTTGAAATCTTACTTACTTGGCTACCTGGATTACCGTCTTCAACGGTTGTACGGGCCCAAGCATAATTTCTATCTTTTCGAAGTTTTTCTGGTTTAGTTATTGTGGTTCTCTGGGGTTCCGAGGTCAGCCTAGCCAAAGTATGCCCCAGGTCGTCACCGCGATATGCAGGCTGCCCTTATGGATCAGATGGAGACTTGTCACCATATGACTAGTTTGATAGCACGAGGTGGTGGATCCTGCTATTGGTTTACTGCTAGCTGGGCTTCTTGGTGAAAACGCTGGACTCCATCACAGCTTGGTAGACCCTGCTGGGAGGTAGAATCTCCCTACTGCATATCGCATCCCAGTACTCAGAAAAACCTCCTAGCCACGATGAGGCGGTAAACCGTTTGGAGGGTGTTTAAATCAGCAGAAGAAAATGAAAAATATTTCAGATAACGCTGCTGGAAATCTTCATCTACTTATTTAAATCAGTGTGGGGGATGGTGAATACTGAACGACAGAAGCAGTTCATGGATGCTATGATGGAAGAGGAAAACGAACGAAGACAGAGCGTTGTGATCGTTGAGGAAACGCCGCAAGAGGTTCAAATAGCTATGTGACATAATTTAACAAAGAAACGAACGATTTCCCTCCAGAATATCCATATTAATTAAATAGTCAGATCAATCAATAGACTGCGCCGCATCGTTTATCAACCTCGTATTAGCTTATCAGTGGAAGAATAGATGCTGATTAGTCACACCGAGGTTAGAGGAAACTCGGTTTTTGAAATATTTTTACGCTTTGTGCACGAATTGTGTCCAATAAACATTATTTCTAGATAAAGCTACATACAAGTTTTAGGTACAACTAGTGCTAGACGCAATATTTCTCAAAGCAATTATTAGGAATAGAAATCAAGTGATTAGGTAAATTCACCACAACGATGCTGAGATATTCGCAAAACTTGGACCCCGAGCCAGATCGAACGACGATTTCCCTTTCCGGAGGCTCGCGCATTACACACTGCACCACGTACGCCCTTCATCTCATCTAATTTTCTATCTACCAGTGCCATTAGCAATCAGCCGTCAACGGGATTGATTTGGGGAGCCCATATCGGCATAGAACCCAATTAAGCTGATGCTGCAGTCGAAATAATGGCTCAGTAAATGTTTAAAAAATTTGAGGAAGCACCGGCGAATGATGACGATTCAAAAAGCGGCAAATCTGCAACTCATATACGAAGAGTGTCCGTCGCACCTCTTCATATTCGTTTGGACAGAAGTGGAAGCATTGCAGTAAGTAGTGAATTTGGCAGTTGTCAAACATCTTAATCGTTTCTTATAGAAACGACGTCTACAGCCTCGTTCAAACTCCTCTACTTCATTTAATACTACTGTCTCTCCGAGGTAAATTTGAATCAAAGTAGAACTCGTTCCGTTTCACCTTCAGGTTCATATTTATTACATTTTATTCAAAAGTGCAGAAAAAGCGGAGGATTTTGCTCTGTTTCGGACCCAAAGAGTTACACTATTTGATAAAGAACAGCATTCACCACCTAAGCATTAATTGGGGACCATGGACTAAATAGATCACACCCACTTCTTTATGTATTTATATCGGAAACGGTAGCCTAACAGGACAGCATAGTTTCAACGTGTAACCGTCTGCATTGAATTCAAAATGCACCTAGCTAGCTCCATTTTCACCAGCAAAGAGGGACAGAAACCAAATCTATCAGGTAAAGACAACCCAGATTCAACAGAAATGCTAAGAATGTGTTTGTTGACGTCGAAACTGATAGGAAAGTCGCTTGCAGGAAATCACTGACTACTGGAGCCTTAGGGTTCCGTAGCACCACATTGAAGTCGACTACAGATGGCCTTCTATCGAACTCTCCTTCTCACAGGTGAGATAAATTTGCTCAAGATACTAATTAAAATTAATTGAATGCGAGAGATTTAGGAGTTCTATCGCATTTGGTAACATTGGACGAGACTTTTCAATCAAAGGAGCTGGTGAGATATTACCAATTCGCCGTGGAAGTGTAGCGGTGACACAACAATTGCAAAAAGTTAAGTATACTATTTTTACAAATACCTAGATATTACGGCATTCATTAACTCTATTTGCTAAACAAAAAAATGGTTTAAGATGGGTTAAGAAATTTCAACGCTCACTTTGATAATACTTGCGCGACTTTTCGTCCAGCTAGCGGGTCATGATTCAAATTGGCCTTCGGTATCCAAAATTTTCCAGATAACTACAAAAGTAACAGTACTAGAGAGTTTACAGCGCATCTCTCAACCAGGCCGCTAGACTTTGTGAGGGCAAAAACATTCTGGCCAGCTTTTATTCTTTTTAACCAAGCAGAAACTAGTTCGCGCGCCTATAGCGCAGTGATTAGAGGAACCCGATAATACGTACGAAATTGTTGGTTCGATCACGTGCATCAAGACAAATCAGACACTTTATCGCTCGGACGGGGCAAATTGACACCGGATTTGTCTGCGGGAGTAGAACCACTGACTTGACAGCACGCTGGCAGCACACAAATCGTCCTGTGATAAATACACATTCAATTATCTACGCATTCTTATAGGCCTCGAATGCATGTCACTTCCCAGAAGGATACGTCAACCCCGAATTTTTTATCTTTAACCTTTTACCCTTGTAAAATTAAAGCTTGAGAAGTCATAAATTGAAGCCTGTTGTAGTTTTCACACTGGGAACTTCGTAACTATGTTCACCAGTGATCAAGAACAATGAATGCTCCGACCGCCATATATAGTCATATTGAATATTCACTGATCATTCATTTAAAAAAACAGTTTACGATGAAATGAATAGTATCAGACGCGCTGCTTTGACGGGTGGAATCCTAAAAGGCCCAAGCTGCATGCAGTCATATTTAACTCACAGATAACATCACAGTTTTATGTTTTGCCATCTGTGATCCCATCGATTGTTGGGCAATTAGTGTGAGGTCGTACAATGACTATATTCGCACCTGCTGAGTGCTGGAGTTGGCCGTCGCCTATGCGGCCCGAATAGGGCTATATTTACAAAAAAAAACATTTTTGTGAAGAATGCTGACCACTAGATCGACGGTCTTTCTGTTGCGCCTATGATAATCTACGGGATACAGTCGCTAAGGGTACGCATGCATGAGTTCCCACCATAACATCGCATGTCATTTTGGAGAATTTGAGCAAGCCTGTGAAGAAACGCCCTGTTCGTCGATCGTCGACATAAGGTGGGTCTCCAATTTATTAGGAAAAGAAAAGCTTCAAGTAGCAGTGGAGCTCGCACCCTCACATAAAATCCAGTGAGCATCGAAGAATAAGGATGGAAGAAATGAAACGAGTAAAAAAAGCACCACAATCCTCACAAGGTACATGAAGACAGACCAAATGTCACTGCACTTTACAACTTTCCGGTTTCGAAAGCTCCAAACCTTCCACAACCGCTTCCCTCATAAGAAATAAATTTTTTCAAATAGATGAAGGTGAGACACAACGAAAATGGCATTTTCATGAAACGTTAGTCACCTCAGTTATCTCCTGGATGTGACCCATCGTGATGAACTTTTTTCGAAAACTTGTCATTCGCCTAACGTTCTGTCAGTTCTATTGAGAACGACTTCAATGAAGAGTTTATAGAAAAGACGGCAAAAAGATTGAGCTATACTTAGGTCAATCGGTGTTGTAGATGTTGTTCCTAGACTCTTTAACCTCAGTCAGCTGTTCTAGTGCCACTAGGATCTTCCTTTACCACTCTTCAAAAAGCGTTGCACTCAACAGTAATTTGACACCAACATGCTCCTTGTAATGGTTTCATAATGGCGAGCCAGTTTGGTAGCTTGCACTGTAGACCAAAATGAATGTAGATTAAAGAGCTGAACACAGCAGAATAAACGGGCCTCGTTCTCCCGACCCCAAAAGAGCCTCGATTCGGCAGCGTTTGGTAGGAGTACAGATAGGTTGCCAAAATTTCAGAGTCATTCTAAACTGCCTACATCGCAAACAACAAAGGTGACGATCTTCATCCACAATGCACACAAACTTTCATCTGAGTCCTTCATAGAAGACTCGATCGTGCAAGCAAAAAGGATAAGATACGACGTCATCGGAATGGCCGAGACGAGAAGACGCCACGCATTCAACGCCATCTGTGCCACCGGAGAAGAACTGTTGCTCGGAACAAGCGACAATAGAGGAGCTGGCGGCATCGGCGTTCTCGTCAACACTAGTTTGTCCATGAACGTCGATTCATTCGAACAAATAACAACTCCACTCGGACGTTTACGATTGAAGAGATGTGGATCAATACCGGCACTGACAATCTTCACCACTTCGGCGGCGACATCAAGCCATGACGAAGACGAACTATAAACGTTCTATATGGACTTCGAAAAGTTCTACACAGAGGACCATAGATTCTTTAAGGACATAATTGAAGACCTTAACGCTTAGATTAGACCCGAAAGAACGTCTGAATTAGATTGGAACGAGCACGGTGAGCAGCTGTCTGAGTTTATCATGGAGACCAACACGATTCCTGGTAACTCGCAATTCGAGAAGCCCCACCCTCAGAGGTGGACGTGGGAGTCTCCCAATGGAGAGTGCCACAAAGAAATAGACCACTTCATAGTAAGCCGAAGGTTTTCAACCGATGTAGCTGTTGTCCCAAAATTCTACACGGGATCAGACCATCGCCGCCTTCGTGCAATACTTCATTTTTCTTGGAAGGAAGAAAAAGCCACTAAATTCGAAAAATGAACTCTCAAAACCACCATGAACTGAGGCTTATTCAATTCATTACTCGGCTTTTTTGATGATGCCATTCTCGATAACATCGATGAAGAATACGATCGGCTCATTTAAAATCTTCACGCTAGCGCTACGAAGTTGAGAGTTCGAAGGTCATCAAGACACGCCTGTCTCCAGAAACACTTGAGCTGATACGCCAGCGTGGAATAGCACGAGCTACACGAAACCACCAACTCTCCTCCGAACTTGTAAAAGAATGCACATGGACGATAAAAGAAGACCTCATAGAGAAAACAGCAACAGTTATGGTCGAAGCTGCGGAGACTGAGAAAGGCATTCGCAACGCCCACCGAAGCTTCGCCAATTACAAAGCCAGGATCATTGCACTCCGACGCCCAGATAGAACAATTACAGCGTCAGGAAAACTGGAGAAAATTATTCACGACCACTACTCGAATATCTTTAATAGGCATGCCCTCCTACCTTCATATGAAATGAGGGAGAATGGATAAGGTGCGTTCACTGGTTTTTCCTTCCGAAATCCAGCATGCTATTTCGTCGGTGAGAAATGGGCAACACCAGGTCAGGACAGGATAAAATCTGATCACCTAAAGAACCATCAGCTAGTCATCATAAACACGCTGGTCCAGCTACTACACGTTGCCTATCTGAATGCAAGGTCCTTACTCAGTTGAAGGTCAGTATGGCTATGCGATTGTCCAAGAAGAGTGATCTCCACGTTATCGGCAGCTATCACCCAATCATCCCACTATTTGCTTGCTGTCCGTCGTCCACATACTTTTCACTCGAGTCATTCTAAACAGGATTGGTAAAAAAAAATGGACGAAGGACAGCAGCATTTAGTCGATGGACCACATCCACGCGATAACAAAGCTCATTGAAATATCGCGAAAGTACAAAAGACCGCTCTGTCTCACTTTCATCGATTTACAGAAGGCCTTTGATTCACTTGAGATAGAAGCAGTCTTGGATGCCCTAGTCAAGGAGTCCCTACTCAGTACATAAAGATTCTTCGTGAGCTGTACAAAAATTTCACAACCAAGATATCACCATTTTACAACGATATTAGCATCGACGTCAAAAGAGGAGTTAAGAAAGGCGATACCATGTCGCCAAAATTATTTACCACCATCCTCCAGAACGCGAACATTGGAATGGGATAATATGGGAGTGAAAATCGATGGTTGGCAGTTACATCATCTTCGCTTTGCTGATGACATCGTCCTTATAACATGATTAGCCAAGCAACGAACACTTACCGAGTTTGACGAAACCTATGGAAAAATTGGTTTTCGTTTAAATCTCACAAAAACGATGTTCTTGAGGAACGCATTGGTTACGAATGCCCTATTCATACTCAATGGAATCAATATCTCCGAATGCTCCTGTTACGTCTATCTACATCGGGAAACCAAAATGATGAACGAATCCAGAGTTGAGCAGAAGGGAACGAGTCTCTTGGAGAGCTATCAAAATCGTCGAAGATGTAATTAAAAGAACAAAGAACGTCCTACTCTGTGGCCCATTTTTCGACTCCACGATTTCTCTTGCCTTAATGAATGCGTCAGAAACTGGAAGGTTCGTTGGCGCCCGCTTGGTCGCTACGCAAGCGAGATGAAAGACCACTTGGCATCATTGAAAGCGCAGTCAAAAGGACGGTGGTAAGAGTATCATATGACACACAACTCAGAGAAAACATCCGAAACTCGGACCTGCGTCAGATAAAACCAAAATTGCTGTTCTATGCCCCAAACAGTAGAATATAAGGTGGGCCAAACGCGCAATGCGTATTAACGACATTCTATGGACAGAACCACTTGTAACTGGATTTCTCGGGATGTCAAACACACTGCAGGAAGAACACCATTGGTCAGAATTCTTCACGAAAACCCTAAAAGAAAGCTATGGTGCTCAACGAGCCAACGAATCCCTATAGCGAGTAGAACATACTGAGCTACCTTTGCACGCAACAGAGAAAACTGGAAGGTTCGTTGGCGCCCGCTCGAGACAGTTGACCATCGGCTGGACGAAAGGTGACAGGTGATTGGAGATCTGGAACAGAGATTTCTGATCTCGTAATAGTTCCATCATAAGTGGAAATCATCATCACAGTCGCCTCAGATATAGGAACTCTAGGATGGCTCTTTTATTTTCACAGGCTTCCGATAGTTGTCCTACCTAATACATCTTTATCAAAAACTCTTAAGGGGTGAAAGGGGTGATTACTTTATCTCTAGTGTTTTCAAAGACAGATACCCACAAACTTGGGATATTAATAGAAAGTTTACCGTGTTTTCCAGAGTGAAATGTTGTAAGTAACTCCAGCGTACTTCATAACTAGGTTGTTGGGTTTTGTCCGAATCGCGGTGCCGGATGCGATCTACGATTACAATCATCAACGCACAAATAACCACTGACGCGAAAATATAACTCAGTCCTAGTTAGCGAAGAAGCAATTCATTCCTTGAGTGCAGATGCTTGTTCTAACAAGAACGAGATTTTTATCAGTGTGCGTTTAACCACACTTCCTCAGTTCCATCCTATATCCGAGTTTCCGTCAGACAATCTCGTGCGCATCCGGCCGGTGTTAACTCACTAGTGGACATCTGTGAACATTTCAATTTTTATGAGATGCAGAACTACATGGACTTCCTTTCAGACTTTCGACATTTGCCAATCACGGGCCACTCTCCGCGAACTTCAATGGTTCAACAGGGCGACGACGTTATTCATTATCCGAGAATTGGTCAACGGCGTTCATCTGTGCATCCGAAACATTTTCTTATATAAAAAATTTATTTTTTACATATTAAAAATACATAATTGTATTTATAACAGTAGATCATTTTTTATCCCAACGGTGCTATCAGTAATCGCCCTTCAATGAGAGTGATCTGGAGAGCTCCGAAAAAGATTAAACGCAGGTTCGAAGCACACCTGAGGTTCCGAGTGTTGCTCACATCTCAGCGTCTTTGTGATTGTCTTCGTTATCAATTTCGTCAATAGTTTCTTCTTTAGTATAGAACTTTTGAAAAAAATTTTCTCGCACGAAAGGCAAACAACATTAAATAAGGACATTGAACTGCATCCGTCTTTGAAAATCCTCAAGCTAAATGCCCTGGGCAACTAAATACGGGATCTATTTTAATCAGAATTTTACAATAGTTAACAAATCTGACCCAATGTCAACAAGTAAACATGCTCTAATTCAGTAGATGATGATCCATTCGTACAAAATGTGTCGAATAAAGAGCTACTTTTACCCTTTTACGACCCTGTTCACCTTCAATTAGCGTTAATATTTAGATCTCACAAATAGACATTTCCATTTCTCAATGAAACTGAAATCGCTGTTTAATATTTGAAATCGTCCCGTGGCACAACCATGCTGACAAACATCATCCTTATAGATCAAACAACGTGGACCAAAGTTGCACACACAGAATTTTGTGGTAACCAGTAATAGGAAGTGTTTACAAATTCCAGTGAATGAGCCTATCAGTTCATGTGATACGGGATACATCACGTCCAGTGGCGGGTTCATTTACCGTATCTTTCGGGCACGGATTCGATTGAACTTGATCTTCGAAAAAAATTTTTTCTACCTGGAATTTCTTAAAAAGTTACTAGCCGTTTTCTTCATCATATAATTTACAGGAAGATTCATAATAATTACTCATTATTGTTATACTTAGAATTTCGACGGCCAGCCCTCACTGGTTATGCGGGCCGCGGCATAATCTCCATTTTTCGCTTTTCTGCTGGTTTAGATATTGTGTTTCACTGGAGTCCTGAGGTCAGCCTAGCCAAAGTCTGTCCCAGGTCGTCACCACCACAGGCAGTCGCAGCCCTTGTGGATCATGGGGAGAGTTGCACAATGGGACTAGTTTGAGACCAAGACGGTGGTCGAACCTGTATTAGTTTACTCTTAGGTAGGCTTCTTGATGGAAAAGCAGGACTCGTTCTCAGCATGAGAGACTCTGCAGGAGGATGAATCCCCGTGCTGTACATCGCAGCCCGACACCCAGGAATACCTCCCAGCTATAATGAGGCGGTAAACCGTTGGGAGGATTATTGTTATACACCGTTCAAAGTTGTTTGTTGTTTAACTATTTGCAAGAGAACACTTCCCTTCTAAAATCTAGCCTTCAGTAGTTCTAAACCAGATTAAACGATGCTCTTAAAGCTTAGACGCATCATTTTCATTCATGATTTCAAACTTAGACATCAACGCCAGCAACTAGAAATGTCATGAAAGCATGGACCAATGCTGGGCTTCCGAACGCATAATGCAAGAACTGTTCTTACTGTTTCCTGCTTGAGATGTGAGTTTTAATGAAGGAGAAGGTCGCGGTTGCCAATTATCAGTTGCTAGCGAACATCTTAAGCCAATAATCTAGGCAATCCATCCAGAAGTACTTTAGGAGTTAAAGCCATCGGTTATTTCATCAAATTAAAATTGGTTTACCAATATGTGTTGTTTTGCACTCATTAAAACGCATAATTCAGTATCTACGTGTGTTCTTAGTTCTACCGAACCTTAATTGTTTAAGGTCAGAACATTTAAAGTTTGGCGCATAATCAGCCATGTATACGGGCCC